GACGAAGAAACAAGACGAAGATCCTTCTGCAATTTGTTATGTCTATTTAATCACACCCTTTTCTCCAGCACCACATTAAAGGACCAAAATCAAACCAGAAACTCAAACAACAATCACAAGAACAACAACAACAACAGCAACAACAAAATTTGCAGAACCCGAATTATTTCCCGTACTCAAAGAAGAATCAAAGAGAGAGAAAGCGAGAGAGAGAGGGGCAGACGATCAAAAACAAAATCAAAACCAAAACATTGTCATGCCCATTTTTTCTTCTTTTTTCCTCACCTCTTTTTTTCGTTCTTTGCGGTGAGATGCCCCTTTCTCTTTTCCCCCTCTCTAACTTATATAGGGACAATTTTTTATTTTTTATTTTAAATTTAATTCTAATTTAAATAATATATTTAAATTTTTAAACCGCTCTCATGGTTTTAACTAAATATTTATTTAATATTTGATTTTATTTTTTATTTTATTGACGTGTGTAAGGTGGGAAATTATTATTATTATTATTATTATTATTTATGCTTGACTTTCACTCTATATTTAATTTTCAACCAATTTACAAGATTTTAATATATATATTTTTAAATTAGTTTTACTTATTTTATTTTATAAAAAAAAATAAAGTCAATTTTCAATTTTTTTTCCTAAAAAATTATGGATTTTTAATTGAAGTCTAATAATAATAATAATAAAATTTAAAAATTATTCTTGTGGAACCTTCTTTAGCAATTATTTAAAGAATTAAGATTTTAAACTCATAATTCTTTTTTACTTTATTTTTGCCTTTTCTAAAAGTACTTTTTAAAAAGTTAAAATAGATTTTCATAACAAAAATAACACTGGAAAACAAACAGTTTTTTAAAAAAAGAAAGCTAAAAATATATAATTATTTTAAGCGTAAATTCCTCTAAATAAGATAAAATAGTTAAATAATTTTAGAAAATATGAAACTAATGGATCCTAATTTTTTTAATTAAAAATTTAATTTTTGAGTTTTATAAAATAAAATTTAATTTTGAAACTTAAAAAAAGGAAAATTGTTTTGAAAATCAGAAAAGCTAAAAGTTATTTCTTTTTTACTCAATACATCGCATGATGTTTTGTCAATTTTAATTTTATAATTTAATTTCTTTCTTTTTTTAATAAGCTAAAATGTAGGGTTTTTTAATTTGGGTCAAGATCTTGAAAATAGGGTTACAATTTAATGAATGCTTCGTTCTCCTCTCCACGGATGTGAAATCCCACATCCATTGTAAAGGAGCTCGGGTTGTTTAAAAGAACAACACAATATCGGGTTAGGTAAGTTGGGTTGTGAACTCCCTCAGTTGTTCGGGCCACCAAACTAATTTCGGGTTGTTTAAAAAAAAAAAATTCAAACCCAACAACCACGGTACATTAAACACATCAAAATTGTTCCAGCAAACTTAATTTTAAAATTTCTATAATTAAATAATTATCAGTTCTACAGTATATTACGAAGACTACTCGTGGTTTCAATTCATTTAACATTTCTCATTTCCTCGAGCATCACATATTATAATCATGCTCTTAAACTTTTAATTTTGAGCATTATCTTCTCCTAAATTTACAAATTATTACATAAAAATCCCGAGCTTGGTGTAAAATTAAATTACAACAATACCATTAATTTAAGAATTAAATTAGGAAAATGTGTCAACAACCATTAAATACTATATTTATTTTTTTGAAGGTTAAATAAATAAATAAAAAAATTCAATCCTCATCTCGTTAAAATACTTAAATTTAGTCTCTATAATAAAATTTAAAATTAATCATCCCAATTAATTTATTGAACTAAATAAAATATTAAATATTATTAAAGAAAAATACACGGTAAATATATATATATATATATATATATATATATATATATAAATTGTTGGTAGGTTAATAGAGGCAAATTTTAAAAATTCATTAAAATTACGTAATTTGAATTTAGACAATTTAAAATTATTTATTTACCTCACTTGAAATTTAAAAATTTTGATTTATTAGATTTTTAAAAATTTTTAAAGACATATAAATACAAAATTGAAAAAATTAATTTCATAACTGAGATCTTATTCTTAATTTTTTTTGGTTTTTTAGGTAAATTATAGTAAAATTAATAGATGGAATATTTTTAGAAAGTGACAAAAAAAAAAGAAAAGGAAAAGCAACATCCAATGAGAAGAAAACACGTGGAAGAAAGAATCAAACGGTGGGAAGTTAGGGTTCGGTGTGTGGGAAGATCGGACGGTGGAGAATTAAAGGAGAAGCTGATGAAAAGGTGTGAGCGTTTTTGGTGGCCCCGACAGCCTCCACTTTTTTTTTTTTTTTTTTTAAATTTCAAACCTTATTTTGTCTCTTTTTAATTTTTAAACATTTTATATAAAAATAAAAAATAAATAAAAAAAATCCATTTTCACTTCTAAATTTGATAATATATATATTAATTTGGGTTTACCTGGATTAAAATTTAATATTCTCGAACTCAAACTTCAGACCCATTAAAAACTTTATCTTAAATTTAAGAACGTGTTATAAAATTTACCTTAAACTTAAACCAATGTTACGACTCGGCCTGTTTTTGCGTTCCACATAAAAAAAATTATATACTCTCAAGTTTATTTATTTATATTTTTTAAATATTAATAATCGAAGGAAAAAAAAAAAGATAATAATAAATCAATAAATAATTGTGAATAAAAACATTACTTTCAAACTTTCAACGTTCAACGTTCATAAAAAAGGAACCTGAAAAATACCATTTCAAAAATCAAAGTACAGTAGGAATTGGAAATATCTCTAAATTTTACACTAGGGACTAAATTGTCATAAAAATTTATAAATTAAAAAGCGTTACATTTTCATTGATATTAAACATCCTTACTTAAAAATATCTTCTCTATAAATGTCAACCGACGGATAAATATCTTTCAATGATGGATGTTCGTCAGTAATAGACATGTGGGGAAAAACAAACAATTTCAAAGCCTTCTTTGGATTTTTGTTGCTATATTTACAATTCATTGAAACTCCTTACCATATATGTCACCATGGCGTTATAAATATAAGTAAATAAGCTTACTACATAACAAACAATGTGTTTTTTTTCCGTTCCATAATAAATGTAATGAGAATAATCAAACATCTATTTTCGATGAAAAAAAACAGCTAAATGCTTTATTTCGGGCTTTTATTTTAACCCTTTTTGGAATTTAGAAAAGTGTAAAGGAATTCTCTAGAGAGAGAAAGGGAGGAGAGAGAGAGAGAGAGATTGGTTCATAACTTTAATTTGAATGCATTTGAGAAGAGAATTGGACTTTGGGTTAGATATTAAATGCACATATAAATACATAAATATAAAGTTCTATACTTTGGGTTAATATTAATATTATTTAATGAGAAAATTAGATATTTAAAAAATAAGAAAAGAATAATAAAGTTTGACCAATAAAGTAAAATAAGTAAAATAATATTATTAGTAAGAGGATTGCATTATTGTTATTTATTAAAAGAATCTTTGACTAATATAATAAAGTTGCAATAAGATAAGGTATAGGGAAGCAATATTTATGATTCATGCTATATTATTATTATTTGTTTTCATTAATTTTGGTTTGGTATTAACAATCTCACATGTGGGTTTGGCTCCAACTTCAAAATATTGCGATGAAATTTGATAATGATTCAAATATTTTAAGGTAGACCAAAACCAACCACTTTAATTTTAAATTCCGTAATCTATCCTATTAGTTAGTCACACGTAGAAATGAGTTGTTAGCCACTTCTTTGTCACTAAAAGAAGTATGGTGTTCGTGGGTTATGTCACAACGCTTTTTAGACCCTACCCAAATAAGCTTTATTAAATAATGCATTCGACTCAATCAATTCAGGTTATTTGGATCGTTTATTGAATTTTTGTTTTCAATAAAATATAAAATATTAGTTCGTAAGCCTTCATTATTTATTCTTAAATATTTAAAAAATTACGTTAAGAATGATCGGAGAATAAATAACAAAAGATAAATGTAATATTGAAATTAAATAAAAACGTGTATATAAAATTGTATTGTAAGAAAAAAAAAGGTATGCTTTAAAATTAATAATAGGTTAATTCTATTGAATCCACCAACTAACTCAAACCACAAAATTTTCATTTATTGAACCCACCCTACCGCATCCTGAAACAACTCGAAGTATGAGTCTAGCTTGTTGATACGTTCTCGAAAAACCCCCTTGAATCCATTTGATTTATTTTTTACCAACAAAAACTCGTAGTTTTTTTCAATATTTGCGGGTTTATTACTTTTCTTTTTCCCTCATAGAGGAAATAAAGTAATGAGATGGTATCCGATATACATCTGTGTACTCAAGCTCCTTCTAACAACCTATGCATTTTGTTATCATTTCGAATTAGACGATCCATCAATCCAAAAACCACAAAATTTTCATTTACAGAACTCATCCCACCTTGAATCAAATAAATTTATTACCAAAAATAAAACCATACGCGTTAGAATGAGTTGACAAGCAAACAAATTCCAATGTCACTAACTACAAAACAACTATGGGAGTAAATAAGAGAATACAAAATCTAAATTTAGCAAGATTACAAATGGAAAGAACAGAGTTGTTCTTACTTTGGTATCATCAAAATCAATAAATGATATAAAAAAAAAAAACCAAAAAAAAAAAAGTAGATCTTTTTTTTGTATGGAAAGTTTGTAAGTGGTAAGGGGAATATTATTGTAACTTGAAAAAGAAAGTGACGAACCAAGTGGGCCAAGGAAGGATCAAAGACAGTAAATGGGGTTTGGATGTTAGTAGGAGAAATGAGGAGGAAGGAGCGTAGAGGTAGAATAATTGTGCATGTAAGAGAGAGAATATGAAGCTCTTACAACAAAGCAGAGAGGAAAATGGGAATGAGTGGAGTGGTGCATGTGTGAGAGAGAATACAATTTCATGCATGTTAGAGAGATGGAGAGTGGAAGAATAATGTGAGTGAATGAATGAACAACAAGTAGATACATGTAGCTACACAGATTTGGGTTTCCAGCAAGCAAAATTTGCTGTCACTGAATATGATGATCCATCCAGGAAGATCCGAGTTTCAAGACATCATATAAGTCAATAACAAAAACAAAAAGAGGTTAAAAGTAACATTCCTAATTTGTTGAAGCATACTGGTCTCAATCAATGGCAATGATGAGGAAACCAACTGATACATACATGAGGAACACGGGGTAGAGGGCAAGGGCTTTTCTTCTTGGGTTTACTGCTGCACTCATGAAAGGATATGCAGCCCATGAACTCCATGCCAAGGTCACACACACTACAACTATCTTCACTACTACATTGTCCTTCAACATGCAGATCAATGCTCCAATATCTAGAGGGAATAGGCAATATCCCAAGAGACTCAAGCTCTGGAAGAAAATTATATGTCCACCCTGCAGTGATCAAAGTGAAGTCTCCAGTTATTGTGGGCAAGTCAAGGTGGGTTGTTCAGTTCATCGAGTGAAAAATAAAAAATTCTTGTTGTGGGATTAGTTTATGGGGTTAGAGATATGAAGGAAATGAAAGCTCATTGAGTGACGGTTATATTCCTGGCTATGACAACAAATTCGCTGGCAGCCAGCAAATAATGATCAGTAATTTAGTGCAATAAAAGTACTATATAAGGACAACTAATTCACCCCTCTCTAGGAAACTGATGGAGCACCCGTTACCAGCTTACCAGTGTTCATTAAGGCGCAATACTCCTCCTCCACTATGACTTGAGGGTGAAGCAAAAATATATGAAGATATCAGTGAGATAAAGCACACAAGTCTCATAGAGAATTTTCTACCTTCTATCTCAATCAAGAAAATTCAATACATAGAATCCTCGTTGCTGTAAAGGAAGAAAATCAGTAAGCTTGCCTAGCCAGAGGAAAACTATTTCAATGCTTGGATCATTATTTGATAGATGTTCCTCATTTACAGTTAGAAATGGGAAAGAAGACGTTATTCTGGAAGGAAAAATGGGTGGAGCCACAATCTCTTGCATTGCTTTCCTAGAATTTTAACGGTTAAAAGAGGTGTTATTAGAAGGTGTTTGGGAGGAGAATATTGCTCATTGTAATTTTTTGTCAAGAGAAAATTTAACTAACGATGATTGTATTTATCCAATGGAAGATAGAAAATGAAAATGCTTAAACTCACCGGGGATGTTCTAGATAAAATCTTGGTTCTTTTACTTCACAAATGTAAGAAATTGTTGAATTGGCTTTAATGAAATGGAAACGCAAATTACCAATTAATCTTTTATGGACTATTGTATTATGTATCATGGAGGCTTAAACACAGCAGAAGGCACTCATAAGAACTTCTCTAATATGAGTCTTCGGTCAGGTAGGTGTGTGTAAATACGAGGTGAACCATTATTTTTTTCATTGCTCTTTCAATTGGCAACGTTGGTTTTGGTTATTACATAAATTTCAAGGGTCGTGCGTATTTGAAGAGGTGGCCAGTTAATATTTTGGCTAAGATTCAATTAAAATGTATACATAATATATATATATATATATATATATATATATATATATAAATGAAAAGTCAAGATTTCATGGGTCAATGCAACTAAGTGTTTGGCTAGGGAACATGACGACGAACTATCAAATCTTCCATCAAAAGGAACGTGAATTGGGAGAAAGCTTTGATAAAACTAAGTTTTGTAGTTCTTCTTCATGCTCCCTCTCTCATCCCTTCTCTAATTATATTCCCTTGTTACTAATTCTGATAAGGAGGCTTTTTGTGGACTTTCTTTTTGGGAAAGCACGCGGGTTGTATACAGAGAGGTTTGGTGTTGAAATGGGAGTAGATTTTTTAGTATCGATAGTTTAAGTTGGGATTCTTAAGTTTTTGTTACTGCTTCATTTGTAACCTTTCACTGTCCATGCATAATTTATTTCCTTATTCAGATTTAAAAAAGAAAAAGAAAAAGAAAAAGAAAAAAAAAAAAAGTAAACAAAGTTCAAGTGTTTTGAGTCTTTCAACAAGGAGATTATACAAAATCAATTGCAAAGACCTAAAATTGAAACTCATCGTCACTAAATAGGTCTCCCCATCATTAGACTTTAAGCCATCCAACCACCCCCTTTAATCTCATTGACATATTTCTCGAAGAGAGAGCTTTGGTTGAGAAAGTCAAACGAAGGAGATGATCCCGTATGTTAAAATGGTGCAATTACCAATATGAGCTCAGAAAGAAAATTAGCTGACACATTTGGCAACAAGGAACTAAGGCTTTTTGGTAGAGCTATAGGACATCTTTTACCGTACTGCCAAAGAGAACTGACCTAGAGATCTATGAAGTTCAGTTTTATAAATAGAAAAAATATATCATAGTAGGCTCTCGTAAAGAGGTCATTCCAATTTTCTGTAAAAGTGGGTTTTGATCAATTTCAATTTTTCTCAAGCAAACACAGTTGCTTCAGCAATCGTGTTTACTAAAAACCAGATAACACTAGATCCAACATGTACACTCCTAAATCCTAACAATGAACACTCGCAAGAAGGCAGCAACGTACAAAATTGTACGAGTATAAAGTGAAAGATGATTAAAACATGTCCTTGAATAGGTTGGGAGAGTGGAAAGGGAGCAGGGAGAAGAGTGAAAGAGAGATTTAGTTACCAGGAGAAGCACATTCAAGGTCAGAATCACTGCACCGGCAGCAAGAAGTGCAAATGCAACAGCAAACACCTCAGACTGAGAAGAAATCAATGAATACCATTAGTAGGATACCCACAAAATTTTAGAAAACCTCTATTTTTATCAGTGATAATTCAACAAAAGTAGAAATTAAGAATGAGAATAAAGGGCAAATGACAGGTTGGAAAAACATCAAATAGATATATAGAGAATGGTTAAAAATGTTTCAAATGTAATGGTAAGGAGGTGGTTGTGGAATTTAAGGAAACAACAAGGTTATAAACATATTTTATCATACATCTGCATTATGTTTATTTCCTATAAAATAATAATAATAAATAAATATACCTGCATTCACATCATAAATAAGGACAACTTATAAGTTTTTTCAAATACATACATACATATGGTTTAGGATATTTAGCCAAATCTGCGATCAAACTTGATCTTTAAATAGAACTATAGAAGGATATGACCATTCTAAGTCATCTGACGTCGTAAAATGCAAGGACCAATGCAATTGAGACAATTTGTAGACATCCAAATCTACTTCAATGCTATCTAAATTCCATTCTCAAAGACATTTGCTTTTCCCTGTTCCAGCAGAAAGTGGGATTGGGAGGGAAGTTTAATAGTTTGATCCAACATTGCTAGGCGTCACAGTCGTTTTCAACCGTGCGGCGTCGTGATCTTGACATACTCGTGACCAACATTAAGGAGAACTCAAGCCCCATATATATTTTTCGCCTGGCTTTGTGGTTTTGTCGGACCTTAGGCAAGGTTTGTCTTCGCCAACCGAAAATCGCTTGTGCGGGAATCTAAGCTTGTTTGACCACACGCTGCCTGCGCGTGCATGTTCAATCTTCTACGACACAACCGACTTGCCTCTACATCTAGCCAAGTCATTCGGCTCAACCTAGCCTCTACTCAGGCCAAGGTCTCCCAATGCAACATCGCATCTCATCTTGTCCTCTTGGTTCCCAATCGACATGGCCCATATGTCTTGACGTCATCCCAAGTCTCGGGTGTTGTTGGCCATTGCAACTCACTCGGTCATGCCATCGAGAATGGGCTCACGTATCGCTTATCTCATCGGACATCCTGAACATCCATCCATCTTGGTTCTATCTAGGCATTGGCCCTCCCTTGCCTATGCTTGTCATTTATAGATACCGTACCAGATAGCAGGTGCATAATCCAAACTTCAACATGCGGGCTAAGGCGCAATACCGGCACACTCGTGCCGCCCGGTATTGTCCTTGAAAAATCCATTTCAAAGGAAGTTGCCCGAGACACTTGTCTCAGAACGCTTACCCTCACTGTGACACACGCATGTGTCACAAGATAGCTTGTTTAGGCCTCGACACCATGTCCCCCCCTATAGTACATTTTGATGCATTTTCAATACTCCTCGGGTAGACGTCATTTTGGCGAACGATCATGCGATGTCGTGGAGCGTCTGTTTGACGAGCGTTCATATTTCATATGGACGGAATTAAACTTCATAACCATATACCCAAATTACTTCCGGAACCCCAACTTTTGAGGTTAAGGTCCGGGCCATACCCGACCCTTCAACAAGCCTATCTTTGACATTCTTGTTTACTCGTTGCCCTTATCTTGCTTTTGCCTCGACTTCTCTTCAATGTCCACTCTGTATGGTATGTTAGATTATGCACCGTCTTCCTCGGTCGAATTATGGCACTCGTCTATGCCCTCGTGTGGCCGGATTGAGGGTCGCCACTTCTCTTGTCACAACATGAGGGTCACAACCTACTCTCTCCATAGTTAGGCTTAGGTAGGGTAAAGAAAAAGAAAGAAGGGTCTCATAATTTTGCCAACATATACATAAACACAAGAAAAATCAATGATAAGAACAAAACAATACAAGAGAGGTGTGTGAGACAAGAAACTCCATCCAACAAGAAGGTATTCCGGAGGAAGCATGGTTACTAAAAGAATTTGTCCAGAGTGCACCATCTACAGACGAACAAAAAAAAACTCTATTTGCATTGATAAGAGTCTCTATGAAACTCCTCAATTCTTCTGTACCTTTCTCTCAAAACACACATCATAAATTTTTCCAAAATATTTTCTTATTCACTTTGAGGATCACCCGCAACAAAATCTGCTGCAAGTATGATCGACACCAACCAGCCACACGAATACAGTTGAAGAGCATCCAAGCTCTTTAAGGAAAATAACAAAGAAGTGGTTTCCAGCACTCTTTCTACATAAGCCACACTAGCTAAGATTGATTGAACTCCTCAGATATCTCCGTTATATCCTTCTCATACATAGGTTTGCCCAGGTATAATCACAAGAATAATTGCAATTCATGCAGTCTTAAACTTCCACATCTTGAAGAAAATTTCTCTTTGGACCCTAAACTAATTTGCAGCTAGAAAAACATATTCCTTTTTTTTTTTTTTTTTTTTTTTTTGATAA